TTATTTCGCTTTGTTTCGGGGCTGTTTTCCCCCTCGTTTTGCTACTGATTTTTGCATGTTTGCATATCCTATTCCATGTCTTTGCCATGTCTTATTAGAGTGGCATTTCGGTGCCTGAGGGTCGGTCCTCGGTTTGCGTGCACGCGTGCACGCAAACCGAGGACCGGCCCTCAGGCACCGAAATGCCACTCTAATGAGACATGGCAAAGACATGGAATATGGCACACTATAATGCAAAAATCAGAGGTAAAATGAGATGCAAAACAGCCCTGAAACCCGGTGAAATGAAACCCGATGCATGGAACGAGCCCCGAAACATGGATTTTGGCGCATGAAATGGCCTATAGCTATGAAATGGATGCATAATTTGAACATGAGATGAAAAGAAAGAAGTAAGGCAGCCCCTAGATAAGCATTTTTACAGTTCAAAGCATGGCCAAAAAGCAAACACAAATAGGGAAAAAATAGCGTGCAAAAAAGGCCCTAAATGTGAGATAATGAAGCAAGTGGTAGATGCAAAGCCCAAACAGAAAAAGGCTCTTCTACAACACTGAAGAGGGACAAAAAATATGACTACTTACAGTATATGGAAACCCCCAAAACAATATACAAGTATGCTCAACATGCTATGCAAGGTAGGGCCCAAAAGAGGTCAAAACACAAAGTATACAAAAAATTCATCAAACAGCCAAAGACCCTTAATGAAACATGAAGAATGGGTCAAAATAAGATGTTTTAAGTTCTGTACAAAGACCAAAAATAGAAGCATAATGGGCTAATAAATCATGCAAAAATGGGGACCAAAGAGGGATATAATGACAAGTGGCACATGGAGGTCCCAAACAGTGATGAGCCCTTCTTCAATGTTGAAGAGGGGCTCAAAATAAGCTCACTTATAGTTTACATCATGCTCCAAAACAGATCACACACAGGCCAAAAATACATTGCAAGATTACGGTATATAAGAGGGATAATGAAGCAAGTGCAATATGGGGACCTCAAATGACAAAAGTCCCTTAATGAAACATGAAATATAGCTCAAATAAAGGGTACTTTCAGTTTTGGCCGGAGCTCAAAACAGCAAGAAAACTAGCTAGAAAAATGTTGCAAAATTAAGCTCAAAAAGAGGGAATTGATGTTTACCCTTGAAGACCAACCCTTGATTGCTTCTTGGCTTGAGAAGTGATGCTTCCTAGCTGATGGAAAGCTCCCCAAGTTGCTGGAAATGGAGTAGTGGTGGTGATGCTAGATAGTGGTGTGAAAATGGGGTAGGGTTTAGGTGTTTTTTGAAGGAAATGGATGAGATGGAGGGAGATATGCATGCAAGAGCCTAAGGCAATTTTTTCCAACATCAAAACCAGAGCTGGAGGCTCTGTTATATAGGCAAAAGGAGGGGAAAAAGGGGGGGAGGGGAAATTGGGGAGGAAAATGGATCAAGTTTCCCTCCAAAAATTTGGCCCTCCGAATAAAGAATCTGGGGGGTCAAAGAGGTCAGTTCTGAACTAAGCAGGGGGCAAGGATCAAGGCCGGCCAGTTATCTCAGTTTCAGGTGGCCGGCCGGCCACATCCCATGGCCGGCCGGCCAAGG